ATGCATTGGATTATTCTTGTTCTAATGCAGGGGTTTACATATCCCTCTTGAATAGTGCCCAGGCAGTGATGAGAACCAGCTTCATTCTTCCTGTAAGATCTCTGCCAACATTGTTGTATTTCTTATTGCAAAACCCACAAGATAATCAGGACTAATGCTATGATATGGGTATTTATTTTTGCCTTTGATTCGTATCTTTGTTTAGAAGGCATAGTGAAGTCGGGTGTTAGATAAGCACCAGCTCTGTTAGCAAATACTTTGTATGTGGACAAGAAGACAAGAGAAGAAACCTCTCAATTTGCGGGGTAAACTCCATAAATTCTGATTTGTTTAACCAGAGATTAAACCCCGATGTGAAGCAAACCACATTAGGAAGAAAAAGGCAGGAGCTGCATTGGTTAAACCTTTGTAAAATTCCATGACGTCAAGCAGATGATTAGAATTTCAGTCAGGAGAAAGACCTTCAGCATGTATAGATTTCCTTTGTGCCCTTTTGCAATGCAATCATGATTTCTGGTGCAAAGCAATCAAGGAATTAGGTAAAAAGAAAACATCTCTTYAGTATTTTGTGTAGGTAGAAATAGGTCTTTGTACAGTGTTTAGCTCACACTTGAAAAAGAAAATTAAATAAACAGCTCTTCAGCTGTTTATGTTTATGGAGGCAAAATTTATGTTGGAGGCAAAACTGGTTCTGAGCACTCCTGAGAATATGGCAGAAATAAGAAAATGTGTATAAATAAAAGTATCATTAAACGTGAGTATGAGCACAGCTTTTATATCACAAATACTTTTACTGGTAAATATAAGTATTTGGGGTTAGTAGCTAATTAAATTTAAGATGTTTGCTTCGAAACACACAAAGCACCAGAATTTGTTTTGATCTCACTTCTATAGTTTTGGAATCACTGTTCAACTATTTGTTATTAAATTYAGTAAAACAGAAACTGAGGCAAAATGGGAAGGACACTAGTGTTTTGAGCACTTAAATCAGTCTGAGCCTTAAATTTTGGCCTGCTTTAGGTGTGGGGTTTTTGTTAATCTCTTGATTCATTTCCTCTAGTGTCCCAGAAGCAAACCAGGAACGACTTTGAAGCGCCTATTTTTTTATTGTTTGCATAATACAGCATTGCTCAAAAAGTCTCAGTTTTTGATTCAAATTGTGTAGCAGACTTCACTGTGGCATTAACTTTGATAATCACATAAATATAAGAAACAGTACTCATACGCCTAGTATGAAAATACAGGTGTAGAGAAAAAATCTGTCCTTTCCCCAAAGGATTATATTTTCAAATTTCCTGATGTTTTCCCTGCAATCTGGACTCCTTAGAGCATCAATCTCATGAAAACTGAGGGTTTGTTAACAGATTTCGAGAAGGGTAGGCCCTATATCAAAATGAGAAGACATACACACATAATCTGATTCAGTTTGTAGTATGATTGTCTTTTTCAAATTCAGTTTGACTGTAACATCCTCTGAGGAGTTTGACAGCAATAACCTACTGAGCTGCACAATCCATGGATAGATGCATACTATGTTGTACTCTTGCTTTTCTCTTTGCTTGTGTACTGAAGGCAACCTTGATTTAGTCCTTTTGTACTTCAGCAAGTCTGTAAAACACATCCAACCAAAAGTGTGTGGATCTCATTTGTATGTAACCAAAACACATCCAAACCCCCCACAAAACACAAAACTTATGCTGAGAACTAGCAGAAAGTTCCACCTCATTTTAAAATAAGATTACTAAAAGGGAATAACCACTCTTTTGTTCTTTTCAGTTACCTGAGTGCCTCTTACCATACATTTTGCAAATTTTAATGGCAATTACACAAGTGTAACTTAATAGTCAACAAGCTTTTTTTTTAAATTCATCTTTTCCCCCATGTAAGTTGAGATTTAGATTTTGACTTCTGATAAACCAGCTTAAGTAAAATTGATTTGATGGGGAAAAATTGGAGCACTTTGAGCCAGAAAACAAGATACTTGGCAAAACTGTATTCTGAAACGGTTTCTGCCAGGAACTTAAAATCTTTCATGTCTGCTAGAGTGCTTGACCTTTCTTTCTTCTCTTCACCTCCTGTGGATAAGTGCTTCCTCCCAAGAATTGTAATGTGGTAGCTTTAGCTTTGCAGCCTTTATGGCTCCGGACACTAAGTTTAGTGCCTGTCCCAGCTTCTACTGGAATTGCTTCATTGCTTTTATAGGGTTTTGCCTAAGTTTTCCTCTAGTAAAATTGCAGCCTCTCACAGATCCTGCAGTTGGATARTTCATTTTCAGAAAGAGAAGGTAGGCTGGGGGTTTATTTGGGAGCTGAGTTCAAGCCCCTTAGCCACACACATCTGCTGTCACTCTGGGTTTTACCTATAAAGGCCCTAGCTTCTGGCAGGAGATAGCTCATTTTCTGTTCTGGGTCCAGTGAGACAGGAGCTACTGGGAGTGCACAGTGTGAAGTTTGTGGCTTAGCCTCATCAGGGAGAAAGAAGAATCACAGCAGGGTCTTCCCAGCTCTTTATCCATTGAATTATAAGGATGCTCCTCTGTGAAGCACATGACAATAATCTTGCACAACGCTTGCCTAGCAGGACAGCTGCCTGGGATGTCAGAAACAAAGGAAACCTTCCTTTAAGGAAGGTTATTAAGGCAAGAGTCCTGACTTAGACAAGCCTGCAGACCCCTATAATCTTCAAGGTCTACCTATAGCAGTAGCAGTTCACCCCTCAGTTTCTTGTGACAGCCCTCCTCTGCACCAAGCCCCTCTTGAATGTCATCACCTCTCACCAGCCTGCACTGTGTAAGGCATCCTGCTTCCTTGGCAAAATCATCTGGATGAGCTGGGGCATGAAATTAAGCTGCTACATTAACCGCTGTTATACCCACAGCAAAAATAGTTCACACTGGTGAGCAAGGCTAACTCACACAGCTGTTCTTCAGCTGATTCAAGAAATTTTGTCTCAACAAAATTCTCTGGAAGGAGAGAGTTCCCCAAATAGCAGTCATGGCCTCAGCCATCTCATTTAAAGTGCTGCTCCAGATCTGACGGAAGCTTAGAAGGCTGAGTGACTGAGGCACAGCCAAATTTTGYGTGCTCAACACAGGCTGAATTACAATAGCAGCACAGCTATGAATTTTCATACAAATTTGTTACCTGGCAACTAAGGGCATATTATAAATTTCAGCAATCTTGGACTGTATGCAGGTTCTTCAAACACAGAAAGCCCGGTCCCTTTCCAAAAAAAAAGAATGGGAACAAAATCAGAGGATGGCTGGAAAGAGCTGAGGGCTAAACCAAATCCAGCTGCCTCCTAGGAAAATGTATTTTATCCTGAGGCCTCTCCTGACAGTTTTGACAGTAGAGCCAATATAATTTCAAACAGCAAAACTATCTTCACAACCCCTGCAATGTTTGGATTACCCTGGCAGTCTAGACAGCACAGATGTGTCTGCAGTAAGCTGGTGATTCTGCCCTCACCTGCACCACAGCAGCTGTTTTTACTATCAATGGCTCTTTTATTTTGTAGGTGTGTAATGCATCAAGCTGCTGGAAAATTAATTAATTTTCCTCAGCCAGTCAACATTCAAATATGCAGCTCACATCACTCTGTGATTTTTAATTTTTGAGCAAAGATGCAGCATTTTAGGAGAGAAGGGTCAGACAGAGACCATACTCCTATCCATCACCTGACATCAAGTTTTGAAATTCTCAGAGTAAGGGCCAAATTGCCTTGTGAAGTAGTGCCAGCACTAAAAATAGAATTTCATTATTTGCCATGTCTGTCTTTCAGCACTGTTCTGTGTGTTTTTTTCCACTGGCGGAGTTTACGTTTTGTTCAGGAAAAGGCCATTTCCACCCTCCATCTGTGAGCATTTGTTTCTTTCTCACAAGTTCTCTTTGTAAGCTAATGTGTGTAATAGTTGCCTCAGTGAGATCACACTGAGGCTCAGGTTTTCCAGGCAGTCACAGGCAGGCTTGTGAGGAGTACATGGTTGCAGCTGCTTTGGGCAGAAGCACTGATATGCATGCTTAACCCACTGGCTCACTCCTTCCCCTCTCCTCACCAACTGGTTAGCTGACCTAAAGATTTCCCTAGAAATCCATCTGTCAGGCTGTAAAATCTTGGCTCTGTTCTTCAGAATGAGAAATACATTTTAGGTCTACCAGGGATGTCTTGGTTAACAGCACCAAGGACCATGCAATCAATAACCTTTCTGACATAAAACAGGCTTGGATTGAAGGTCTGATTAAGATCCAGACCATGCTGTTATACACAGAAAGAAAGTGAAACCAGGGTCTTGAAAYAGTTGCAAAAATAAACACCATCAGCCAAGCCCACCCTGCAACAAATCATAAACAACCTCATAAAGGCCCTTTACAGTCCCTGACGGACATGATGTAAGTGCTGAGTGGCCCAAGCAGCCCCTYCTCAGTCCTGCCTGCCTGCTCTGGTAGCTCCATGTGTACCCAGTACGCACTATTCCCCCCTTGAGGGGTCTGCCACTCCCCCCACTGAGGGTCTACCACTGCAGGGGAAAGGACAGTGCTGCTATTCAAACTCCAGCAGTGACTTGCTCTATGTTCTTTGAAACCCATCTGGACTGCACTGCTACAGTTGGGTGCCATAGAAACATTCGAGTTACAAGAGAGGCACCACATGAAAAAGAGGAGGCAGGGAGTGATAGGACTTTCTGGGGAGATGCTTTAAGGGCATCACTACTTTCATTAAAGTTATATTCACGTCCCTCTAAACTRGGGTCTGACTTATTTATCATAGGACCTGACTGGCCTTGCATGTTGTGGACTGTATAGGAACAAGGAGTAGCTAACTTAAACTCATATGAAGCAGCCTAAAAACATCAGGGGAGAGAAGAGGGTAGAGCTAACAAAAGAAAGAAGCTTCTTAAAAGCTAAAGAAACTAAGCACAT